TGTTGGCTGTGTGCAAGGCAAATGCCCTACCTGCTGTGCTATCACTCCAGCCCCTACCTCCTATTTTAACCTTTAACCCCAAAAGATTTATCCAAGTCAGAATTACTTATTACTTTTTAAAAAAAGTCATATAACTATATTGTCTATGTCTTTTTTTTTCTAAAGAAAATTTCAATTGTTCTTTTTGATTAAAAATTCATTTCAACTATGTTGGTCTTGGAGTTAGTTTATATAGATACAAACTACCTTCATTTTTCTCCTTCCATTATGATTTTTCTAGCTTTTATTCACTTTCACTTTCAGAGACTGTTTCTTTACCTACACCTATTAAATATCAGAGTATAAGTTTTTTGCCTCAGGTTCTTTTTTTTTTTTAAGGTGTCCTAAGTCAACATGTTCTTTTAGACTTAGTCTGGAAAAATAAAGTAAGGCTTTCAGTGAAAAATAAAAGTGACACACAGCTAGAACAATGAAAAAATTATTCATATTACTTTATTTTATTTTATTTGCTTTACTTTTGTTTTTGTGCCACACACAGCAGTGATCAGAGCTTACTCCTGGTTCTGTGCTCAGGGATGACTCCAGGCAGGGCTTGGGAAACCATATGGAGTGCCAGGAATCGAAGCAGGCTGACTGCGTATAAGGTAAGTGTCCTTATCCACTGTGTTATTGCTCTGTCCCCTCATTTTATTTTAACACAAGCAGTACTCTTGGTTTTATACAGTTAATCACATTTTAATTTTAATATTAATATTTTATTAGGGATGTTAATATCTATCAATATTAATGCATTCCATTATATTCTCTGCTCAACTGTGTCTCCTTAATGCCTTCAATAGGTTGATAAATTCATGTCCTATTAATACCTATATACAGATATAGATGTTATACGGTCATTTCTCTTAATTTTGGCTACTTAAAATGCTTTATATAAGTCACTGGATTATAGATGAGATAATAACCTATGTCAATATTGTGTTGAAATGACTGCATTATTTTGTTTTGCTTTAGCTAAAAATTTTGGGGGACACACCCAGCAGTACCCAGGGCTTACTCCTGGCTTTATGCTCAGGGATCACTTCTGGCAAGCATGAAGGAATGCATGGGATGCCAGAGATCGACCCTGGGTCAGTGGCATGTATGGCAAATGTCCTACCCATTGTACTACCACTCAACCTAAAAGGTTATAATTTTTCTAGCAAAATTACCACAGAAACGTTGTGTTCTTCCTCCAAGCATCACATCATGATTTTATTATGTCTTATTACTAGTGAGTTTGACCTTAGTCATTTGATTAAGTGGTTTCTCCACTGTGGACATCTTTTCTTTAGACACAGCAAACATCTTGAATGAGTTTGAGATGCGCAAAATCTGCAAGGGTTTCTTAAAAAACTACTGGTAGTTTCTTTATTCTCAAGCCTACTCATTTTTCCTTAAAAACTTTGAGACTGACACAAAAGAATCTCAGAACCAAGCAGTTTATCTCAGAACCAAGCAGTTTACTGCAGAGATGCCTCCAGACTTTGCAATAGATCGATTTCTCTGGGCTACTCCAGACAGGAGCAGGTTCTGTCCCTCTGCCTGCCCCTTAGGAATCCTGCCAGCTGCCATCTTCCAGAACCCAGTGAAAAGCCTAGGAGCAGTAACGGCAAACACCAGGCCTCATGGGATGGGGGAGGAGCTGATCCCTCTCCTCCCCACCCTGATGGGACTCTGACATGATGCCCACTAATTGCTTCCAGCTACTACTTAAGCCCCTTAAGGGCCGTGATCCAGAGAAACACAAAAGAATCTCAGAATAGAGTAGCTCACTGCAGAGATCTCTCCAGACCCTAATTAATAAAATTTTAGAATTTCAGGAGCACAAGGCCACTCTTGTGGCCACGCAATATCATATGCTATTCATAACACGCAATACAAAACAAAATTGTCTAGCACTGCCTTTTAGGCAGGTTTGAGTGGTAGTAGGAAAATTCCAAATGATAGTAGTGGGACTGGTGTTAAAATATTGAATGTAATCAAAGTAGAGAGAGAGTATTGTGGAAATTGTCTACCACACAGGCAGGGGAAGGGTTGGAATGGGCGGGGGTGGGGGGGCAAATACTGAGGACTTTGGTGATGGAAAATGTGCACTGGTGAAGGGATGGGTGTTTGATCATTGTATGGCCAAAACTCAAACATGAAAGTTTTGTATCTGTACCTCATGGTGATTCAATAAAAAACAAAACAAACTAATAAAACCTTTGAGACTAGTATATATGATTTCCCCTTACTATTCTGTCATGCAAGCACTCTACCTTTTTTTTTTTAATTTTTATTAGTGAAACACCATGAGGTACAGTTGTAGACTTACAAATTTTTGTGCTTGGATTTCAATTATACAATGATCAAATACCCATCCCTCCACCAGTGCCCATTCTCCACCACCACAGGTCCCAGTATTCCTCCCACACCCCAAACCCCCATCCCACACTGCCTCTGTGGCAGGGCATTCCCTTTTGTTCTCTCTCTCCTTTTGGGTGTTGTGGTTTGCAAAAGAAGCATTGAGTGGCAATCATGTTTGGTCTATAGTCTACTTTCACCAAGCACTCTACATTTTTATTAGTTCAGTATAATTTTTAGTCTATAAAAACAACATTACTTCATTATAAAAAAATCACCATGGAACAATTCATAACTACACCATTAGAGATTGGTATTTGTTATAAACTGAATGTTTATGCCTCTCACCTTCCAAAAAAATCACGTCAAGGAGACTGGAGCAATGCTATACAGGGTAGGGCATTTGCCTTGCACACGTCAACTCGGGTTCAATTCCTGGCATCCCACATGGTCCCCTGAGCACTGCCAGGAGTAATCTCTGATTATAGAGTCAGGAGTAATCCCTGAGCATTATCAGGTGTGGTGTTTCTAGAACTGACACCTCACTTGCATGCTACTCTTGGGTGTGTTTGTCAGCTCTTCAATCATAAAGGTTAAGGCAGGTGCACAACTCCTTTATCTTTGTGTCACTTGCACTTCGCTCACACTCTGGCTCAGAGTGAGGCCTTAGCAGTGGTTAACTGAATGAATCTAGAACAGCAAAATAATGACTAATCCAGCTGAAGCCCAGAATAATTAGTACAACTCAGAGAACAATTGTAAATGTGAAAGGAAAAAAATAATGGGTAAGTAAGCAATAGGAAAAGAGGGATACCAAAACAGAGAGAAACTGCATCTCGTTATATGGAAAGAAAGTTCCTGCTTTTGCTTTGATGATAATAAGTAGAGAAACAAATATTTTTAGCACTATCAATAAAAAAGTTCACCTTTAAAATTTGCTTAAAAGGTAAAAGGAAATAACATTCTATAAAACAGAAAGTTCAACAGAAGAGTCAACAAGAAATATAAAAATTAAGAAACAAACACTATATAGAAGAACAAATGTAAAAACAACCATAAATTAAAAAACAAAAATTAACGTGTTAGAATTTTCAAGATTAGTTGAACAGAAAACAAAATTCAACAATATTCTACCTGCAAGAGGTAAACTCTGAAGTAATGGCAGTGATGTTAGAAAACATAACCAAATCATGACATAAATCTATAGATTATGGGATAAAAAAATTATATAGGATGAGTACTGCTGTAGGTTCTACCAAAAACACTAAAATAAAAATTCAGCATATGGGGCTGGAGCGATAGCACAGCGGGTAGGGCGTTTCTCTTGCATGCAGCCGACCCTGGTTTGATCCCCAGCATCCCATATGGTCCCCTGAGCACCGCCAGGAGTGATTCCTGAGTGCATGAGCCAGGAGTAACCCCTGAGCATCGCTGGGTGAAATGCAAAATAAAAAATAAAAAATAATTCACATACAATTAGTAATAATTATAAACAATCTAGAAGCATTTAAAGTTAAGAGAGTTAGGTATTTTGAAAGCAAAACCCAAAAGCATTGGAAAGAGCTGCAAGAATTTAGCAGGAGCTATCTACGAGAGGGGAACTGATGACCTGAGAAACAGGAGCAAGTTAAAAACTGACTTTCCACTACATCCTTTTTTAAAAAAAAATTTTAAATTTATTTTTGGGAGAACACCCAGTGGTGGTTGGGACCATATGTAGTGCCAGCGATCAAATCTGGGTTGGCTACATGCAAGGCAGGTTCCTTATCCCCTGTACTATGTCTCCAGCCATCCTTTAATTGCATCTCTCTGTACTTCTTTGTTTTGTTTTGTTGGGGGACATTTCCGGCAGTCTTCAGGAGTTACTCTTAACTCTACACTCAAGAATCACTCCTGGAAGTGCTTGGGGGACAATATAGGGCGCCAAAGACTGAACCCGGAATGGCCCTGTGCAAGGCAAACACCCTAGCCGCTGTGTTATCACTCCATTCCCTATGTACTTCTGAAGTTTCTATATTTCACTTAAGGTTTCTGTAAAGACTAAAAGTGATACACTAATAAATTTAATTACAAGAAAAGAAATGCACAAAATTGTAACAAATAGAATATAAAGCTAAATAGTAAGAAATATGGGGATACTATGAATGTGTTAATAAACTTGGATAAAACTAGACAATTTGGGGCTGAAGAGAGAGTACAGCAGGTAGGGTTTGTGTGGGTACAGCAGGCAGAACCCCTGAGCACAGCACCAAGTAGTAGACCTAAACACCACAGGATGTGGCCCCAAAACAAAAGGGCAAATGTGTATATAAAGACTTAGGGATTATAAAGTTTTGGTTTTTGATAAACCAAGAAGCTTGTTAAAATTCAAAAACATATTGGGCTGGAGCGATAGCACAGCGGGTAGGGCGTCTGCCTTGCACGCAGCCAACATGGCCGACCCGAGTTCGATTCCTCCGCCCCTCTCGGAGAGCCCGGCAAGCTACCGAGAGTATTCGATATGCCAGACACAGTAACAACAAAGTCTCCAATGGAGACGTTACTGGGCCCGCTCGAGCAAATCGACGATCAACGGGAGGGCCTTTACCTTTACCTTTTACTCTACCCAGAAAACATACCTTTTCGTTAGTTCATTGTTTCCTCCAGTTTCTCTCTTCTCTTCATGCAGCCCTGTGTGCATCTTTAAAGGCTCACTTATTGCTTTTGGAGATACAATTCAATCCTATAAAAGCAGAAGAATATGACTTTTATGGGAAAAGAAATAAAGGATATTCTAGGAAGCTAAGTAATTCAATCATCAATTTCCTAATTTTCACTGGAACTACACACAAGCAGAAAACTGAGAAGTTGATAACAATAAAGTCATTAAAATTTAAACTAGTAATTTTACATTAAAAGTGCTAGTAGACACTGGAAATATAAATATAAATAAGGCAAACTCAGTCACTCTGGTAATAAATCAGAACAAAGGCTGTGCAATAATACAGGGGTTAAGGCATATGCTTTGCATGTGGCCAACCCCCACCCCCACCCCCGGTTTGATTCCTGGCACCATATAATGCCCTGAGCATCTTGGGTGCTGTCCCGGAGGTACCCACCACCTCCAGAGTGGCCAGGCAATGCCCACCACCACAAGGTTCAGGCAGCACCACACCCTCAGGCCCCACAATGAAGAGTCAGTCTGGTTAGCTAAGAATAGGAGGCAAGGGCCCCCTTAAAAAAAAAAATCAGAGGGCTGGAGAGATAGCACAGCGGGTAGGGCATTTGCCTTGCACCAGTCAACCGGGGTTCAATTCCCAGTATCCCATATGGTCCCCTGAGCACCACCAGGAATAACCCCTGTGCATCGCCAGGTGTGACCCAAGAAGCAAAAAAAAAAAATCAGAGCACTCATATGCTGCCTGAGCCCATGTGCTGCTTGCGCCCACGTGGCCAAGCACATGTGTCGCCCACATCTTCCCTCTTGAGATGTGTACTTTCATGCTTTCCTGTCTAATGCTGGGATATGTATAGGGGCTCTCTCTGCCCAGGTTCTCTCTTGAGCAGGATACTCTCTACTCTCCCACTTTCTCTTCCTCCTTCCCTTTAAAACCTCCAAATAAAATGTTTTACTTCAAAAAATCAGAACAAGATGATTAAAATATGCAAAAAAAAAAAAAAGGAAGGGGGGAAGGGAGGTTGAGAGATAATATAGCAGGCAGGTAGCCTGTCTTGCATACAACTGACCCATACTTGATTCCTGGCGTTCCACGTGGTCCCACCAAGCCTGCCACGAGTGACATGAATGCAAAGCCAGGAGTAACCCCTGGCTGAGCAACATGGGGTGTGGGTCTAACAAAGCAAAACCAAATAATAATCTGCAAAACAAAAAAAAAAAAACATGCCTCCCAAGCAGTGTGTGAGAGCTTAGAAGCCACTCCTAGAGGCTCTCAGTCGTACTGTGTAAGCCTGAAGGTTCAGTGCAGGGGCCCTGTGATGCTGAGCCACTAGGGCTGCCCCCTGAGGCACCAGAGATCATGCAGTACTGAGGATGAACTCAGGACCTTGAACATTTGGCAAGTGCTATAGCCCTTTGGCTCTCCTCAGAACCCTAAATTCTGCAGAAAACTTTTTACACTTTTCCACAGATAAGTATAACAGAAATAACAAAAATAACTGATGTGTGTGTGTGGTCTTACAACTTCAAGGATGCAAACCTTTAATGCTGTGCTATTGTTTGACATTCTTCTGTTCAAGGACCTGAGGTTTACCTGGCATTGACTCTAGAAGTACAAACAAAAGTCTAAATTAAGAACTGGATTCTGAAAGGTAAAGTGACATGCATGATACCTCTTCAGTAAAAGTACTGCAAACCACAATGCCTAAAAGGAAAAAAAGTATCTGCCATAGGTAGTGGGGTGGGGGGTTGGGGGGATAGAGAGAAACTGGCGACATGGGTGGAGGAAAGGGAATACTGGTGAAGAGATGGATGCTCAAATATTGTATGACTAAAACTCAAACATGAACAACTTTGTAACTTTGTATCTCACGGTGATTCAATAAATTAAAAAAATTTAAAAATTAAAAATGGTCTAGACTATAGAATTCCTGGTCAAGAAACCATGTTATCGTTAACATGACCATTACTCCTATGTTTGTCCCATTCTTCCCAAAGTCAATTATAAGTACACTTACTTCTGCATCAGTGAATGAAATAGTAACTCTGTTTCAACCAGTCACAAAAACAGCTTCACATAATTTTAAGATTACTTCAGCAACAACTAAGAAACCAATGCTTTTGTGTTCTTTTTTCAAAAAATTCTCTTTGGTTGCGATGCCATTGGCAGTAAAAATGCTGCATGTCAGAGGGTATCAGACCTTCTACCAGATATCACAAAAAATCTTCCTAACTTTATGGTAATAGGAGCTTGGTATTTATATTTACCTACAACTTCAGTTATAACATTTATTTCTGCTATAATTATCATATTCCCCCACCATTTTTGGGGGGAGCCCCACATCTAGAGGTGCTCAGAGGTGACCCCTGGTAGACTCAGAAGACCATATGGGATGCTGGGGATCAAGCCTGGGTTGGCTGCATGCAAGGCAAATGCACTGCCCATTGTACTATGGCTTCGGCTTCCAAATCCATCCATTTTCAGATGGCAAAATCCTCCCTCTTTAAAGCAAGCCACATATTCTTTTATTCTCTGGGTTAGAAATTGTAATATCAAAAGCTGTGAGTTCAATACCCCACAGGACAGTCAGCTTTGATTCACATCTACAAACTGTCAGCCTAGATGCCATATCTTGGGTCGGAAGAGGAACCAGGTGAGTGTATGTGAGACAAGAAGCTTAAATACACCTGGTGGAGAAACATTGTTTACACAGGGGCAAAGGCATTAGTTTCATTCATAAAGAAAAGCTTTAAAGCACTTCTATCTTCCTAAGAAATAAACTCTTTTTCAGTCTCAGATTTTCTGCTAGAATCCAGCCTAGAAACTCTCACTTGAGAAACAAGACAGGTGTACAATAAAATAGAATACTGAGGGACTGAGGATAGTACCGCGGGTAGGGAGCCTACCTTACACACTGATGATCCCGGACACCCCATATGGTCCCCTGAGCTCTGCCAAGTGCAGAGTCAGAAGTCCTGAGATCAGCTGGATGTGCACCTGCCCCTCACACCCCAACAACCCCAGTGCCAAAAAAGAAAAAAAAAAGAAAAGAAAAAGAAAGAATAAAAAATTGAGGTTTTTAGTTTTTGAATAAAGTCTGCCTGATTAAAAGCAGAACTTTCTTGACAATTCCACTAACAAAAGGCACTTGTGATGTTTTTAGTCACAGAAATCTCTAGTAGTGCAACATAGCAAACCATGAGGAAAATCTTACTTCAATTTAACATATGTATATATATTTAGATTCCTTAAAATTTTCTTTAGTTTTCAGAAAACCAAAGTCTGCTCCATTTTCAAATACCATGAAGTAGCTTTCAAAAGGCTTTTTCAAAGTAAATGAGAAACCAACCATTATCAATCCAGATCACATTTTTAAAACAATCCGAAGATGGGGGGAGTGCCAGTATGGTGGGTAGGGCATTTGCCTTGCACATGGCTGACCCAGATTCAAACTGGCATCCCAAACAGTCCCCCCGGAGCACTGCCAGGAATGATTCTTGAGTGCAGAGCCAGGAAAAACCCTTGAGCACTGCCAGGTGTGGCCCCAAAGCAAAAACAAACAAACAAAGAAACAACCCAGAGCCCATACAAGGTAGATATTTTACCTGACTTAACAAATAAAAATGTTTATATACTATATACCATATTCCTTCATCATTATTTTAGATTAAACCGATTTGGGATTTTCTGTCTTCTAGTTTTCCTTCCCAAAGCCGAACGAACTTTACCAATGTACTACTGATATAAAGTACATGAATTCCAATAGTCACAAGGTAACTATGACAGCAAAGTCACGGTTATTTATGAGATCACAAAAACTATATGATGTAATTTTTAAAATTTAGGTAAAATTCACAGAATAAAAAATGTACCATTTAAGGTGTACCAATTCAGTGGTATAGTCATTACAACATTGTACGATTATTTACTTCTACTGAGTTCCAAAACATTTTCCTTACCCATCCACCTGAAACCTTGTACCTATTAAATAGTCACTATTAATCCTCTTATTCCAGCTCCTGGAAACCACCATGCCAGTTTGGATTTACCTATTCTGGATATTTCATATAAATGCAATCACACAATATGTCATCTTTAGTGTTTGCCTTCTTTAAACTTAACGTTTCAAAAATTATCCATTGTATTATCATTTTGTTTATTCATTCAACCACTCATTCAACCCATGGAGATGTGGGTTGTTTTCATTTTTTGCCTTACACTGAATAGTGCTTCTGAAAAACATTTGTGTGCAAGTATTTGTTTGAGCATCTCTCTCATCTATTTTGGGTATATACCTAAAAGGGGAATTCCCAGGCCATACAATAATTCTACACCTAATTTTTTGGGAGGAATTGCCAAACTATTTTCCATAGTGATAATACCATTTTACATTCCCACCAGGACGCCTAAAGGTATTCAATTACTCACACACCCTCACAAAATGCTTGTTTTGTCTTTCTTTTTTTCCTGGAGAGTAAGTGATTTGGGGGGGGGGGGGACCCGAGGAGAAGGCTTCTCAGCAAAATTTGGGGACCAGGAGTTATTTCTAGTGGTATTTATCCTGGTTCTGTGCTTAGACCCAAGTATGCAGAGATGCTTAATCAGGACAGATCTAGGGATGTTTGCCAGTGATACTCCCACAGGCAAAGCACTCATTCCAGCTCTTTGAGTTATATTCCAAGTCTGACAAAAATTTCCCTGACAATAAAATTATTGCTTTGTTTGGGAGCCACAAAGAGTAGTGAGGGTGGTGCTTGGGGGTAGCTCCCAGGAGTGCTCAGAAGATCATGATGAATGCAAACCAGAGACTTTAGAGCCATCTCCACAGCCCTAAACACAAGTTTGTTCAACTTGTTTATCTGTTCATCTATAGCCATGTGTTTATATTCATTGATGAAGTGTCTGTTCAGCCTGTCTCCCCATTTTTGATAGGTCTGTTGGTTTTATTGTTTATTGTTGATTTTATTGCTGAGTTTTGTGAGTTCTTTATATAACTTTCTCTGTATCGTTCCAATTTTAGTATATGTGCTGCCGAAGTGTGCAGAATAAGGAGTAAGACCTGAGC